GCCGATTCAGAATCCCAACTTGATTTCAATGGTTAAAACCTTTCAACGTCCATGCCTCCCAAATTGCTAACTTGAGATACTTGATCTGGTTGAGCAAGCCTTCTTCTTGTTGAAACTTCAATAAAGTTGAGAATTGGAGAATCAAACAATTTGCCAATCAAGCTATCAGAGTTCACTCAGATTGCAAAGAATGTATGAGAGAGAGAGAGAAGAGATTAAGAGAATTGTTGAATTGGTGTGATGAGAACAGTGGAGGATAGGGCTATTTATAAGATTTGAAAATAATTCAATTGCCCAAAATACCTTAAAAACTAGTTGTTTTTAGTTGTTGGGAGGGGTATTTTGGTCATTGTAAAGTTATTTATAACTTTACCCAAAATGTCCCCCTAAACTAGTTGTTATATAGCTGTTGGGGGGCATTTGTGTCATTTTACTCCCCCCATAACCAAAATGCATAAATACCCCTCTATATAGCTGTTTATATCTATTAGGAGGGGTATTTATGTAAACCCCCCCCCCCCAAAAAAAAGTTGAAACTAGCCGTTAGGGACCCCCCCCCAACGGCTAGTTCTCGGACAGGCCGAGCACAGCCCACTATGCACGGCACACATAGTATGGCCTGTGGACTTTGAACTCTAGGCCCAACACGACACAAACCATCGTGCCGGGCCTAATACGGCCCGTGGGCTATCGTGTCGTGCCAAGCCGGGCCGGTCCAAAGTCGGGCCAGGCCATGCCAAGTCGCGGGCAGCACGACCCAATTTACACCTCTAAGAACAACTCTTCCTGCACAAATTGTAATTTACACTAAGGTGACATCTAAAAATGTATTTTTCATGATACTTGATATATAATTCTAATATAAAAGTTATTTTTTAGGTACAAAATCTCTTATAGGTTTGAAGATGCAAATGCTAATGAGAACTTAATCTTTTTGCCAGGGTGGCTAAATACTTGATAGGAAAACCTATCTCTGATGTTAAGCACATTCTCTCTACAGTATTTATACTATGAACATTAATTAATTAGGGTCATTTACTAGAACACTCCCTATAGTTTCACAGATTTACTTCAAATTATGCTATAGTTTTTGTTTTACTAAAACACCCCCTATTGTTTGCAACCTATTTCCTTAATCGACCTTTCATTAGGAATTATATGTTTCTCCATATGAAAAAAGTAACATAATTACCTAAACGGAGTAGAAAATGTTCAAGGCATGGGCTAATGGTTGTTTATTCCAAAAGTATCCTTAGCACTTCTTCATATAGAAAACAAAATTGACCAAATAAAGCCACATGGAATGGTTGCTTATGTCTTATTAGGGCAAAAATGGCATCTTCATTTTTATTTTCTTTTGATTAAATTTATTTGAATGGATGTTAGGGTCAAAACTGTTTTAGTAAAAAAACAAACTATAGGGTAGGTTTTAGTAACTTCATAAAACTATAGGGGATATCTTAATAAATGACTCAATTATTTATTAGAAATGCTTACAAAAAATTACGTCTTACTAATTTATTTAAATAAATTCTACACACAATTTGTAAGATTTGTAGGTGAATTAACCAAGGGGTGACTTAGGCAAAAAAAAAAGGGATGGCTCAGTTGGTACCTTTTCCATCGGAGGTGTGCATTTGAATCCCACTAACTACTACCAACTTTGGAAAAGAGTTATTATTAATATAATGTGATATTTTACTATTCCCAAAAAAAAGAGAAATAAGGGTCTGTTTGGTTTGTAGTCGGAGTCGAAAACAGAATCAGAATCGAAATCCTCCAAAATTGGAATCGAAATAGTCCATTCTCATAGTGTTCAAACAGAAATGAGAATGGGAATTAAAATCAGCAGAAATGGGATATCATTCCCAAGGGAGGGGCAGGGAATGGCCATTCCCTCAAATAGGAGAATGACATTCCATCAAGAATGGGGATGGGATTCTGATTCCGCCCAACCAAACAGTTGGAATCGAAATAGCCCATTCCGATTCTGATTCCATACCCCTATTCCTGCAAACCAAACGGATCATAAAATTATTAGGTAAATTGATATACTCACCATCTGGAGGCGATATACTTTGTTGTTGAATTGATTATCGTGCCACTAACTCAACCTAGATCAAGTTAGGTACTGTAACATTCAATTTTGCAAATATAACTATCATTATAGTGTCACAGAACTTACAATAAAATATTGACAGACTTCTATAGATATTATAGTAAGCTCTTTAATCATGGATATCTTGATAAACTGTTCAATAGTAAATTTAATATTCATTGTATGCAATACTTTTAGTGTTTGTCCTCATAGGGACGCCCTACAAAAACCTAAACTTTTAAAATAGACCCTAGAAATCATACCATTTCCTTTAGGTATCACTTCAGGTAAATAGTTGAATTATTTGGGTCAAACAAGTGAAGTCATGATACCATATTAAATAAAATTCACAAAAAATTTCAACGCATCCCTAATAATATATATTTTTCATTGTAAACAAAAAACAATATATGATAAATAATAAAAATTTTTATTAATGATGGAAATGAAATAAAAAATTAAAACTAACCCAAAAAATGAAACCATATTTTCTACTCTACTAGCAGATCAATGGGTTAAAGCATGATGTTAATTAATTAATAAAATTTTTATAAAAAAAATGCAAAGAATTACAGAAAAATATAAAAAGTATAAAAAATTTAGACACCTCTAGCATTATATATAAATTATATAAAAGGAAAGTGTGATAAAAAAGATTTATTTTTATTGATAATGAAAATGAAATAAAAATTTTAAAACTAATCTGAAACTATTTTTAGGTGGTAGGTCAACAAGCCAACCTTCTAGGTCTAATAGATCAACATATGATGTTAAAGATTAAAAAAACAAACAAAAATGCAACATTTTATAAGTAAAAATAGGTCAATCAATGTTGCCATAATTAAATAATAATATTTTAAAGAATAGATAGAAATACATTAAGTTGTTAAAAGAACATATAAATTTCTAGAAAAATCTGATCACATATCTAACATTATATATTTATCATATTAAAAATAAATGTGATAACAAAATTTTACTTTTATTATTAATGCTAATGAAATACAAAATTCAGAAAAAAAGATAATTAATCTCTAACCCTTGATCCCACTAACTAGGTCAAATGGTTCAATTAGTTATATTATCATGTTGTTGATTGAGTCAAATGTTTTTGTTCAAATAAGTGTGGTTTAGTGGTAAGTGAACCCAAAATCCTAGATAGGTGATGGATCAACCAGTCTAACCAATCAATTTGACAATAGGATTATAACCAAGGATTAAAGTATTGGTATCGGGTATCGTATCGTACAATTTGGATACAAATATGCTTAGGAAACGCAATAATACGAACTAAAAAATATGGAAACACTTGGATACACTAAGAAAATGCATACAAATTTCATAAATATATTAATAGCAATAAGTTTAATGTCAAAATAACTATAAATAATGCATAAATACATAGAAATTGTATATTTAAAGGATATATATGAAGAAATATATTATAACTAATATAGCAGGACATGTAAATATTATATAATTTTATTAATAATGCATCAATCGAGAGCCCAAGGCATATATTATATAGATTTTTACAAATTAATACATGCAAAAAGCCAATATTATTTTATTATCTATTAAAGTGTAAGGCATAAAACATATGCAACTATTATATTTGAATTATTATATCAATTTTTTCTATTTTATTTTTAACATTAACAAAAAATTCAACTAAAAATTAATTCTCAAAAGTTTGATAAAAAATATTTATATTTTTGTGAACAATAAATATGTTTTTATAAAATGTAAATTAAAATATCAATTAATAACTTATAAAAATATGTAATCTTAACTTAAAATATATCAAATCTATTAAAATTTTGAAGATGCATATAATATGAAAATTCATAAATTTTAATTACTAAAATAATTATTCCAATATTAGTATTTTTAATTTTTATAAAATTTCAAAATTAAAAATTATTTTTATATAAAATGTAGGTTAATGGATTTAGTAGATTCAATTTATATTATATTTTCAAATACTTTGTAAACAATATTTTTATTTTTGTAAGTAATAAATGCATTATTATTTAGTGCAAATTAAAATATTAATTAATAATTTTTAAAAATTTTAAGCTATATATCATGTGCAAATTTATAAAATTTAAGTATTAAAATAATTATTCTACTATTACTCTTTTAAAAAATAATTATTCTATTTTTAATAATTTATTAGTATAAAATTTTGAAATTAAAATTCATTTCTTGATATATATGTGGATTGTATAAATTATTTGTTTTGTTGATTTATAAAATACTAATTTTGAATATTGTTCTTTTTAATTTGTAGTTAGAGTTGTTGAAAATAAATGTATGTTTTTTTTTTGTTTGCATGTAAACATTAATTTTAATAAAAGTTAATTTATTACATTTATTAACATGAAAAAAGAAATGGCTTTGTGGTGCTTAAAGGTGCATGTGCGATTTGGTATTGACCAACCTGGGTTTGAGACTTCGAGTCACGTGCTTTTCTTTTTTAAAGTGAGGTGTTGTGTCATTTAGTCAAACCATGGTTGATATGCTTCTGTATCGGCACGTATCAGCCGATACTATATGATACACACCGATATAGTGACATATCAGACCGATACGCATGACTGGCAAGATACACCTGCAATCGTAGCATATCCCATATCCGTGCAATCCGATACCGATACGATAAGACCGATACGAGCATATCATGTTGATATTTTAATATTTAGATATAACACATTGATAAAAAAAAACAATGTTCTTCAAATCAACCAAAACTACATTTCCCTCTCAGTTAAACAAATCAATCAAAAATGTCATTAATTAAATAATAAAATAAAAGTATAAAAACATAAAAATTTGATCATGCCTTTAATATTACATATTCATCACATTAAACAAAATATTTAATGATAATTACTATTAATGATGAAAATGACTAAAAAACACTTCCATAGAAACCATTTATCCATAGTAACATCAACTAGTTGCATGGTATGTGAAAAATATTATTATTAAAACTGTCAACTAAGATGTGGATACATTCCTTGCCTTATAAACAATTGATAGAAAAGAAAACAGATAAAAAAAAGAAAAAAATCCATAGTAACATCAACTAGATTTAGCACTTTCAATTGCAGCAACTAGATCATCAAATTTAGCCCCAGTTACTTCTTTTATAACTTTGCCGTCCTTCAGGATTTTGAATGTAGGCACCACTCTTATCCCCAATTCCTTTGCTAATGGCTGTAAGCATTAAACAATAACAAACAATTCTATGACATGAGAGAGAGAGAGAGAGAGAGATTTATATTAGCATCTACATACCCTGTTTTCTTGGTTGCAATCAAGCTTCATAAAGACAACATCAAGATGCTTCTCTGAGAGCTCTTGAAATTTTGGAGCTATCACCTTACAAGGACCACACCTTACAAGAATATGCATCCCAAACACAAGAAAATACAAAATTCAGTCATGTAAAATAAAATAACAAAATAGTGTCATAAAAACATAATATTTGTATCATGGAAACCAAAGTACAGATATAGGAGGTAGGTTTATTATGACTATCTAAACTAGTTTATTAAGATAATGAAGGAAAGAGATGATGCATGATGAACAGAGAACAGTATGGTGTTTATGTTGAAGAACAAAGGCGATATACAAAGTTGTAATAATTATCATGGAATTAAACTCATAATTCACATTATGAAACTTTGGAAGAATAATTGAACAAAGGTTATGATATGGAACAAGTATCTCAGAGAATTAACTTAGGTTTATTCTAGAAAGATAAACCATAAAAGCCATCTTCCTTTTGAGATGACTAATAGAAAAGTATAGAGAGAAGAGGAGAGGTCTTAATATGGTTTTCATTGATCTAGAAAAGGGATATGATAGAGAGTCTCTAAAGAAATAATATAGTGGGTTTTGAAAAAATGTCCCTAATAGGTATGTAGAACTCATTAACTATAAGGGTGCAAAAATCAATGTTGGAAACCCTGTGGGATAGAGATTAGATTTTATTGTCACAATGGGTCTTCACCATGGTTTAGCACTTGGTCCTTATTTATTTGCACTAGTCATAGATGGCATAATATTAATTGATGAAACTAGTGAAGGATTAACTGTGCAAAGCTAGGTTTATAATAATTGCATTAGAAACTAGAGATTTTAAAATAAGCAAACTAAAACAGAATATGTGTAATATAACTTCAATAATAATAGGAGTGCAAACCAGGGTGCACTTGGGATTAAAGACCAAGAGAGAACAAAATGTGACTTTTGTTACCTTGGTTCAATAATTCATAACAAATGAGAGATTGAGGAGGATGTTGTCCATGGAATTAAAGCAAGATGGATAAAATGGAATAGTGCATCTGTTGTCTTATGTGATAGACAATTACCATTTTGGCTTAAAGGAAAATTTTATATAAAACACCCCTTTCTGATGTGATAGACAAATACCACTTTCTGATGTGAAATAAGCAGTGGAGCGTGAAACCTCTATCCATCATAAACATGAAGAGTAAGAAATATATCACCATCAAAATGTTCCCCAGTTCTTTCTCAGCTAATGCAAAATTTAAGGTTCAGATATGTTCGCTGTTCTTGTGATGCCTAATCATAAAATCATTGGTAAGCAAATCTCATTTCTCAGTAATTCCATATTTAAAGAAAGATTCCATGAAAAATGGCAAAATTGCACTTACACTGCCATTCAACAAATACTAACAATTCCTTTTGTTGAATTTGTTTATGTTCCAAAATATGACAAAACATGTGCACAATGTTCATGCTTGAAGACCAAAGAGCCTCATAAAGATGATGAGTTGCTTCTTTGACATTTTCTAATAATCCCCTACTTGTAATCTGGTTTGTTTAGAATCAAAAGAAGAAAGCAAGAAGGGAAAAAGAAGGGAGAAGAGAGAAGGTACAAAAGAAATAGAGTTTTGGGAGATTAAGTTAGACTGACCAGTCGGCCCACTCTTATTTCATTAGCTTTAATAATCATCCATAATTGTCAAGGTATCACTTAGGCGACTAGGCACACTTGGTTGGGTGCTTCACTTGAACACCTTGATTTAAACAAGGTGCCCACCTAGGTGACAAACATCACACGGTGGGTGCCTTGTTATAGTATGATTACTATGAGTCTATGACTACATCTTACTAAAATGTGTTCTAATACTTTCTATTATATAGTACATATACCGCATATGCCACTTTATTAATGCTTTAACAAGAAAGAAGGATAAAGAGGTTTCTTTTTCTTTTGTTTTTCTACTCTCTCTCTCTCTAACTTCCCTGCCTTTCATTAAATAAAATAGCAGTTTACCCCTTCTTTTTCTCTTTTTTTAAGAGATTCTGCAGTATTAGGAGTTGATATATTTACAATTTTGCACTGTAGGACTGCTCTCAGGTGGTCCAAGCCACCTGAGAGCAATTGGATGATCTAACACAAGTCTTTTTCTTGGTAGAAATCTAACACAAGTCCAGAAGGGAGATTTAAGCACCTAACACATGCTGGTATACGTTCAATCATATTCCCCAATGATTGCAGCCTTCAAACACCATTAAAAACGGAAAAATCAAGTCTGGTAGAAAATGACTTCTAAAAAAATTCCAAAATATTTGAAGTCTTAGAAAATTATGAGATCACTTCATACCATTACCAAAAAAGATCCAAACCAAGATCTTCCAATCCTTTCAAGGAAAAAGCTTTCATCTATCTGTATAGTAGACAATACTTAGATATGCACTTTTTAAGAATTTATTTGTTTTCTATTGAAAAATGTAAAAAGAAAAAAAAAATCAAGATAAACTCCAATCAACACCAAAGTATCAGCAAAATTCTTCTAAAACCTAATCTATCAAGATCTGGGATTTTCTCAGTCTACCGAACATTGTCTGTACGGCTGCTGACATCACCTGTGCAGTTGGTGATATCAACAATTATGAACATCACCTTCTGCTGATATTACAATGATTCTTCCCTGCTTTGATACCAACTTATTTATCTGGTACTGGTTTCTTTAGAACCAAAGAAGAAAGATGAAAACAAGAAGAATAAGGAAAAGATGAGAGAAGAGAGTTTTGGGAGAACTAGTTAGAGTGACCAGACAGCCCACACTTCTTTTATTAATATCTTAACAATGATCTCAAGAATTACAAAAAACAGGTTTTTTCTACACCTATACTCTTATTATTGTTTCTCTACACCCCTTGATAAGTTAGGCAAACAAGAAACAGGTTTGAAAGCCACAATTGGAACCTATCATCAAAATCATCAACATTTCATGGATAAGAAGGGTTTCTTTTTCTTTTTTTTTTTTTTGAAGATAAAATAAAAAAGAAATTTTATTGATAAAAAAAGAAGAGTGCATCTTCTTGATGACAAGGAGTCACAAAACATCAGAGAAAAGAGAAATTTAAAATCAATAAGTACAATCACTCAGTAATTGAATCACCAATTGAAAAAGTAGGGTTTCTTTTTCATGAAAAAAAGATGGTTTTTTTCTTTCTTTCAAAACTATTGATTCCCCCCCCCCCCTTCCCTTCTTTTCACTTTCTCTTGAGGTGTGGTTGCGGATCTTAATTCATTTGTATCAAAGTCTTGTTTTTTTATATTTTAAGCTTCCCTGCTCTCTTCAGGCAGGGGTAGGAAGCTCATTTCATTTATACCAATGTTGTAGAAACAGATCTGCCAGTGAACAGAAATGTGATACAGATTTCAGAGCCATGGGAAATCAAATAGAATGCTTTCCATCCACAAAGAATGAACAAAAACTTACAAAGAGAGAACTCATGCTGTTGGGTAAAGAGCTAATAAACGGATTGTTTATGAGAAGAAATATGTGAGAGGGATGGAAAAAAGGAGAAAATTAAAACCAGAATTCACTAAACCAAATTTTGTTTCTTCAAATCAACTCTTCTGCAATTCCAATTATGATGACTATATTTATAGACTCAACTTACGAGCTCAGATCTTCTTTTACAGACTCCAACTCGGACTAGGAAACTGACCCAAATCAATGTCTAATTGAAAGACAAATCCATAGGTAATCCAAAGGGACACTCCAATAAGGACTCTAATTCCTCAAACAACTCTAATATGTCATTACTGATCCCACTAAGACTAAATTTAATAGACCAGAAATAATAAAAACAGTAAACCGCAAGTTTACTAAAAATACTAATATGAGGATTATTATACATAGTAACTTCAAAAGTTTTCCATAAATGGTAATTTTGAAATAGAAAAGAAATCTTAAAGAACAGAACCCTGTTCTTCAACACTTATAACTGAAATAATACCAACATTCTTCTATCACCCAGAAATTCTGAAATTGGTTTAGGAATGGAAAAAACTGATTTATTTCTCTAGACATTCTCCTTGCTTTAATATCTGCATCATTAGGTTATAAGCAGATTGAAACTTAGAATGACATAGGACTATCAACGGAAAATCCCAATTCATTCAATAGGTTCTTTATCCACAATATTTCAACAACTCCATGAGACATAGCTTTGTATTCTGCTTCAACTGGACCTAGCCACGACACTTTGTTTCTTACTTCTCCATGTGACAAGTTCTCCTCCCATGAAGGTGCAATATCCACTAGTAGATTCCTATCATCTACTGACCCGACCCAATTAGCATCTGCATACACTTCCACCTTTAAATGCCCATGCTTTTGGAATAATAAACCAACCCTTGAAAACTTCTTAAGATACTTGAGAATTCTCTCAACAGCCTCCATGTGGGTAGCCTTAGGTGCATCATGCATGTATGAACTGACCAAGGACACTCACGGCATACACAATGCCAGGTTTGGTCATAGACAAATACAAAAGCCTTCCCACAAGTCTTTAAAACTGTTTCACATCCTTTATAGTTACTCTAATGACAGCTACCTAACTTGTCATTTGGATTAATGGGAGAATTAACTGACTTTACTCCTAGTTTACCTATGTCCTATAATAGATCTAGGATGTATTTCCTTTGAGCAATGAAGATCCCTTTTTATGAGTGGGCAACTTCAATTCCAAGGAAGTACCTCAAGGGACCTAGATCATTCACCTCAAACTGAGTGGCTAAAACTTTTTCAGCTTTTGAATTTCACTTGTCCAATCTCCAGTGACTATTATGTCATCAACATACACTACCAAAGTAGTAATTTCATCTTCCACCACCTTTACAAACAGTGTATGGTCAGACTGACATTGCTTAAAACTAGTCTACTACACAACTAGATGGAAACTGTTGAATCAAGCCCTTGGTGATTGTTTTAGGCCATACAAGGATTTCTTCAGTTTGACACTTTCTACTCGCTGCCTTTAGCACAGAAAACCAGGAGATTGAGCCATATATACCTCTTCTTCTAGGCCACTGTTCAAAAAAGGCATTCTTCATATCTAACTAGT